CATATTTATGGCCGCTGGCAATGCACTGCCCTTTTCTGAACGGGACGTTGAGGCTGTCAGGGCACAGCTCAATAAGTATACATGAAGTGGGGAGACTTGGGTCTTTTTTAACAAGCGCTCCGGTACGTCATCAACTTGACCTTTCCCCTCCAGGGGTTTTTTCGAGAATGATTTCCGAAACGCGCGGTGTAATCCGCCAAACTTTGCATAGCTGCAGGCAATAAGATGTCGGATTTTAACGTGTAACACATTGGAGGTATATCGCGGGGTCATTGGCCTATGGCAGATAAACGTTGGGCCGTGGATGTCAGCAAAGGCAATTTCTAGGGGATCGTTTTATCTGATGCAACAACAGAGCATCAGATGATGCCACGCATCTTCGAGATAGGTTCTTTGACAGCAACACAACTGAATCAGAATTGCGACAAAGTACATCGACCTTGCGTCAGATATGAAAGCTAGACTGAGGTGAAAACAAACCTGCTGTTTTATTGGAGAGCTTGCGCTATGACGTAGTTTCTAATGCCCATTCTGAGTTTCAAGATAATAGGGGCCAGAAACAAATATCTTTCATGAACTTCTCAAAAGTCAGGATAGGTCACTGCCCTAGAACGTCCCAGATAAGTATTATTTTAAACGTCAATTGGCTCTCAATCAGTGTTATGCAAGACGCGTTTTCATAACCAAACAATGACGTATTGAGAAAAGTATCAACTTGACAGAGATGTTGTTTTTTCCAGAGAAGTCTTTCCAATTGAAAATATAAGAGTAATTCTAAGTGAAGTTTTTCACCGTAATTGGCGCATGCTTCAAGTCTTCAAATGTGGAACATTCCCTTTAAGAGCTACCATGCAAAAACCGATCACGAAGGAATCTCTCTGGGGGGAAACTGGTCATACATCCCATTATTGGACAACTGTTTCTGTTGGAAGTTCGCAAAATAATGGGAAGATTTGCAGCACCTGGGGACTAGATGAAAAAGCTGCAATATTTTACACGTTTTACAGCATCTGAAAGTTGAGCTAAACCCAAGTTTTTCCGGAAATGTTATACAATCAGTCGTCTCATGATTTCAAAGTCCAAAAAGCACTTCAATACACACAAGCATCTTGAGTATGTACTTTTTTTATTTGCTGCAAACCACCGTTAAAAACAAAACAGCATTTCGAGTCGCCCTTTTAACATGCGACCCAAATCTCTTCGTCTTACCCTGCTGTCATTGTGTGCCAAGGCGTGTATATATGAGCTCGCCAATGATGATGAATAATCTGCAACAGAGCACTGAAAGCCATCCATTTCCCATCCTGCTGCATCTTCCGTGCATTAAATGTTAAAATTGTGATTATAGCTCCGTGCGTCTTACTACCCCTGGCTCTTCAAACATCTTGAGACGAGTGATACCGAGTGTCACAGCTTTGCACAGTCGTAACTTCCGTTGAAATGGGCTGACTTTCATTTAATAACTACGCCGAAGTATGGTTACATTTCCAGGCAGGCATAATAATTTTAGCATGACACGTTCGACAGGCCACAGGCATTTGCACCCCCAAAACTACGAAGTGCTTATTGCGCCTGTAATCAGCTGAGCAGCCTGAATGGATAGATAGTTAAGGAGATGGATGCTTAACATGCATCGTTAAACAGTGTTTTTGCGCAGTTTCTGCCAAAGTCAATGCTGGTAAAACCTTGAAAACGTGATGGGCAGATGTTTAACGCTTGCGCATGGATCTCGACCCGTCGGGCGTTCCGGTCGGATCGGTACGGGTCGCTATGACTTCCTGCTTGACATCGCCCCGAGTGACCTTTGGACGACCGAGTGACCTTTGGGGGACGGCGGATGTGAGCAGAATCTCGCTCGCTTATGCATGCGGTGCGGATTATTTTGTGACGCACGTAACTGTCGCGGTTATCAGCTGCACAATCTTTCGCGACGATTGAAGCGGCGCAAGGCGTGACGCGGCAGCCAGCAATGCTTGAGCTCGTAATCCGCTCCCCTCGCGTCAACCACAGATGATGACGCTGAGTGGATCCCTTCACGATCTCACCGACCCGGCGACATTAGAGAGACACGCAACGTGCAGCAGCGATGCGTTGGTGTCGGGATAGGAAGGCCAGGCGCCATCGTTGCACGGTATGTTGTCTCTTATGCAGCGCCAGGACGTGTTTTAATGAGGCAAACTGCCACAGCACGGAGGCAGATTGACACCATTTACTTACATCTTAAGGCTGATATCTTGTGCGACACGCGATGAAACGAACGCCATGACTAGTGCTTAAGTTTAGCTTCAACAGGGTGGTGCACTTTGACGCAGTGCACGGGGGAGGAGGCTAGGGCAAAGGGCCACTGTCTATATCTTTGCATATTTTGCTAACAGTAGACCCTAAACAAACCTACAAAGCGTTCTACAAGGTATTCAATGCGACAAACTGCATTGAACCTGCTACTGATATTTTAGTTGGTCCGATTACGCACCTCAGAGTCCAAAGATAGCGTGCGTTTAATGGAAATAGAGGGCGTTTTACAATCCCTAACTTGCAAATATATATATATATATATATATATATATATATATATATATATTGTGTATATGCATACATGCATAAAGTGAACAACGAACAAGCTGAGCCTCAGTGCGAAAATGGTGGTAATCTGTGAAGGTTACAAAGATCGCTGGGAGGTCAGTAGATCAAACTAGAAAAAAATGTCGGGTCATCGTTCAAACGGCAACAAATCCCTCAGCTTAAGCAAAACTTTCGCACGCCATCGTTGCGTCAACATGTGTATCATCGTGCTATGTTTCCAACTACGCTCTGGTTTGTGGACTAATTTTTCACAAAAGCACTTTCGTTTTAATGGCTCCTCTAAACGTGCCTTAAACCGGGGAGTTTCAAACTTCGGTCGGGGGAGGGGACAGTGTCCTTTTTCATTTTGAACTGAACTCAATTTCTTTGGGCACTTAGATTCCATCCCGCCCCTCTCCCATTATTTTTCGAGCGACTTTGCATTGGGATCCAACATGGGGGATTTGAAATAGGCTGCCCCAAAGAGCCGAAAAACAGGCCTAACGTGAGAAAGTTCCACTATTTCATGGCCTATGAAGAGAGTCAGGAGGTGGCATGGCGCTGTTTGCTCCGTTAGACCCGTCACAGTTAACACACGCATCTCTCGGGAGAGCACAAATTGAACTAAAAAGACGTGTAGTTCGACATGTAGCAAATTATATGAAACAGCAAACTGACATGCCATTCGGAAGCAAAACAAATATTGTTAATAGGCCGCAGGGCTGATCGCTACGGTTTGAAACAGTCGGTGCTCCGCTAGCTAGCGGCGGGAGCACCGGCCACAGAAGCCGAGCTCGCGGCGGTCGCGCCGCCGCTGACGATCAGAGCCTCGGGTCTTGTCCCGGCTGCACACAACTGCAGCCGGGACAATCGACTGCGCGAGGCGAACCGGAGGCGATAACCATCCAACGACCCCATCAGCCCGGCCGACTCGCCACAGCAAACGGAGAATCCCGATCTCAGGCCAGCGCCACCCATCGGTCAAAAGCGGTAAGTCTAGTTTCCGTTCCCGTCGCAAGGTGGCAGTAACTCTAAGCCCCTTTCGCCATGCATCGCGATTGGTCGAGCAGCAGTAACGTTCCACCGCCTTAAGATCGTCGTATCCAGTAAATATCATGCACGGCAGACCTCGAACAATCAAATCCTTTTTTCAACGAGGCAATGCAAATAGTTAAAGGCCATGCAAATGATTCCCGGACCGATCTAAAGCTGCTTCGATCTACCAGCCTTTCACTTGAGGACTTCTGTTTTTGCATGAGGTCACCATCAATCCTGGCCATTTACAATGAAGAGCGAAGATGGCGACTGAATAAGCTCCGGTTTCGCGGCATAACGCCTGCTCCCAGCATAAACGCCTCTCACGGCTGCGAACGTAGGCCGCGCCGCCTCTTACGCAGCGCATCCACAGAAACGCTCTCGCGATAAACATGCATTTCGTATCGAGTCGACAGAGCTCTGACACTTACACAGGGCCTTTGAACACGTCATAGAGTGCGTAAAATCAGCAGATGAACGACCCTTTGGCAGTGGGCAGCTGTCACTAGCTGGCGCCAACCATGAGATCCCAGCCGCCAGCGCGCCGCGACCGCTCACCGCTCATCACACCCTCACAGTCAGGCTCACCGCGGCGCGGGTAGGCCAGCCGTCTATCACCAACGGTGGGGGGGGGGGGGGCTCTCCTTCACACACGAGCTCAGCGGCCGCCCCGACCTGGCGCAGCCCCCCACCCGTCGACACGGCCCGTCACGCGCCACTCGCGCTGCGCCACCGGGTCTGACGCCATGAGAAATCGACTGTGAAAAATGCGGAGGGAGCATTCGGAGCATTCGCACTCGGAGCGAACGCCGCGAGGGCAAGCAGTACGAGGCGCGGCCGCCGCCACCCTGGATGCAGCGCTTTGACCCGAGGCGCGCGCCGCACCAGCGCATGGCCCGCGGCCGGCGACAGCGCGCGAGAGACGGAAGGACAAGCGGCGCGCGGCGACGCGCACGCGCCGCGCCAGGCAGGCGCCGTCTCGTCCGCAGCCCGCGCCGGCCGGCGCCGAGAGACCGCCTCGGCGAACCCCAGCAAGCGGCTCGACGCTCATACCAGATCGGACACCAGCTCCGGCGCCCAAGCGCCTCCAGCCAGACGGCACGTGCCGATAAAAACAGCCCGGTGATCGCACCACGCCCCAGCACGCACCAACACACGCCATGATCCGATGAAAATACCTGAATGAGTCCCGGAGCGGGACACAGCGCCCCGCACGCTCGCGATCGAAAGAGCTCGCCAACGCAACGGAAGCGGCGACACAACAGAACAACGTTAAAAGGAGGTGATATGAGAGCCCTCCGCGCCGACCCGCGGACGCGCCGTCAGACGGCGCGCGCGGCGTCCGTCGGCGCGCCGGGCTCTGCTGGGAGTGCCGTCCGTCGGCGCGCGCTATCACAGCGGTGGCGGCGCGCACAGCGCGTCGGTCCGGATGAGTGCCGCGGCCGGCCTCAGCCGTCCACCGGCGCGCCCAGGTACACCATGGAGACCTCCGTGTTGCCGTACACCGCCGACACGGACGGGTAGAGCCGGCGGTCGGGCAGGCCTGCAGCGGCGGCGGCGGCGCCGGGTCAGGGCGCGGTCACGGTGCACGCGCACGCTCTATGCACACACACACAACCCGCCGTCGGCCGGCAGACAGCGGGCATGGCGATTCATTGCAGCCGAGGACAGCCACACTTTCCTCGACGGTGGCGGAACGCTCATACGCCGCTGAGAAACAGGCCTACCGCACGTCCGACTCTCGCTGATCATACACTGGCACCTGACCCCGTACTTCTCTCTTTCCGACACGCTGACACAGACTGCAGCGAGCGCCCGCAACGGTTCGACTCCGTAGCCTGCCGCCCGCGTGCCGACAGCCGCGCTCACCTCTGAACAGCCGCTCCCACCCCAGAACAGCAGCCCTCCGCTCTAAACAGCCGCTCTCACCCCTGAACATCCGCCCTCAGCTCCGAACAGCCGCCCTCACCTCTGAACGCCACACCCAGGAACTCGTAGCTGCGCTCGAACGACAGCGTGTTGTCGTCACAGTCGAGTATCACGCGTATCCGCTCCCCCACCTGTCCGGCAGCGGAAGGGTGTGCGCCGTCAGCCCGTAGCGCAGCGCAAGCACCTGGCCAATATGACTGAATGCAAACGCAAGCAGCGCAAACAGCAAGAAAGCATAACAACTTTTGACCACGAGCCGTAACCTGGTGGTCCTTTCCTTGAGAACTAAACACGCCCATGCGTGACATTTTGTCGAAGTCGCAATCCGCGAACAAGAGGCAGAACAACCACGCATCGCAGGCGACCAACCGCTCCGCCATCACGGCCCACCCGCCCGCACCCCGACACTCACCTGATACTTGGGCGCGTTGTTGAGGCGCGGGTAGCTGCCGTGCGCGTCACCGTTGTGCAGCAGGTGGTTATCGACCAGGTTCCAGCCCCAGCTGTGCGCGTCGGCGCCCAGCAGCGGCACGTAGCCGTGGCACTGGAGGCTGGCTTCGCTGGTGGCCACGCCCACCACGGCCACGGTGCCGAGCGGCCCCTCCCACACCACCTCCCACGCGTGCCGGCCGTGGCAGAAGCCCCGCTTGCCGCGCGACGCGTCGGTGCTCTGCGCCACCGGGTTCCGGTGCAGCGTAAAGCCGTTGGGCTTGATGTAGATGTTGCGCGAGCAGTCGTTGGGGTTCCAGGCGTGGTAGAGCGCACGCAGCTTGCCCTTGTAGGTGGGCACGGAGCAGAGCAGGTCGGAGCGCAGCGCCTCGTCCGCCAGCTGCTTGATGCACGGCAGCCGCCACACGTCGTTGTTCTCGTCGTTGAGGAAGCGGTACCAGAGCTTGCAGACCAGCGCGCAGCTGCGCAGGTCCTGCAGGCTGAGGTAGGAGAAGAGCTGCTCGAGCGCGGCCTCCGGCAGCCGCAGCCAGAACGACCGGCCCTTCTCATGCTTTGACTTCGGAGTTCTGAGCGACATTGGGGGAAGCACATGAAGCCGTCGCGGGTCGCGCCTACACCGTCAGGCTGCTGTCATGGCTCAGCTCCCGACCCACTGCCGCCGCGGCCCCAGCAGCTGGCGAGCGAAGATTCGCTCGTCTGCGTCAGATCATTCGCTGTCAGTCACTCCCGGGCTGGACGACTGCCATGGCGACGACATGGCACGGCTTCCATGGCGTGACGGCGGTCAGTGCGCGCATGCTCTGTGAATACAGACGACGGTCACAGCGCGGCGCCACTCCTCCGACTCATTCGCGCGACGAACAGTCAACCAGATGAACGTCTGCAGTGCGGCACATTGGCATGCTGGCGGGCCGTCGCACTGGCCAAAATATTGCCCGCAATTTGGAGGTAATGCCGACATATGCCATCAGCCCAGATGGCTGAAGTAACCACCCACACTGTAAAGTCATTTTCACATTTCACATACTGTTACTGGGCTTTGTTCAGCTGGAATCAGAGTCCTCACCTCAGGTCAACAGGTCGCAACCACAGTCTGCAAGTATATTGACCATCATGACAACAGTTCACATTTTTGGGCATACATGAATCAAAGGTATATTGGATCATGCTACATATCACATATGTGTTCCCTTACAACACCTACAATGACAACATTGTTATATACTTACAGCAAATTACTATGGCAAGTTTTCACCCAGCAGCATATAACAAATGTCCCATCAAAAGGAGGCATGAAGTAACACACATCAAGCAGCTTTAGTGCGAAATCAGGTTTGGGCTTGATTCCGGTCATACTGCTAAGATCCACATGGGTGAAATTCCCCTAAGGCTGCGTGATCATCAAGTAAAGCCCCATGTAAAACAGAGATCATAACACAGTTGAGGAATATCCCATGCGTGTGCACAGGATAGATAGAAGAATATCCCATCTTCACAATGTACTTTGGCTTCAAAAAGTTGCACATAAAGCAATATCTCATTATATCAGGCATGGAAACCAATCATGTTGAGACTTTATAATAAAAAAGAGACCTTACAACTGGCACTTGAGGGCTCTGTCTTGTAGTAACTGAATATCACCTCTAGCTAGCCCAAGGATGACTCAGAAAGATCCTGATAGGCATGAGAGGCCCTCTAATTGATGCTTGAGGGTCCTGCACTGTGGGGGCAGGATCATTTAATACCTCTAGCAAGCCCTCCATGCCCTTTGGACCCTTCAATTGGGTCCCTGATCACCATTCTTGGGGGCGCCATGGGACCTGGAGGGCTTCAGAACCAACATCCAGCCTGAGGCCAAGCTGAGAGACCTGGCAAGAGCAAAGATCTAACTTGGGACATGCAAAATGATGAGTACAGTGCACAAGAAAATGGTTCCTGGCATATGCAAGTTGTATTTTTATATTTCAGGTGACAAGCCTTCAGTGGCAGGTAACTGTCAGATAACACCCTGAGCGAGGGTATACAAGTGAGCCAGCCAGGAGCAGTCATATGGATCTGGCATTTTGTGAGTGACCAGGTGGAAGCCAGGAACTGAGACCATACATATGTGAGAAACCAATGGAAACCAGGGATGAAAGAACCAGTGAGAACTGGAAGTCAAAACTTGTTTTTTGGAGAGTCATTAGGAACTAGGAAACAGGGTCTGGTATTTGTGCAGGAACCAATGAGAACCATGCCAGATCTGGTGTTTACAAAAGAACCAACAGTGGTTGTAAAACAACCAATGGGCTATAAAAACCTGAAGCCAGTGTTTTTCTGAGGACTAACTGGGGCTAGTGACCTGGGTCTTCATTCATGAGATGAACTGGGAATCAGGAATCCATGTTGAGAACAAGGCACATATTTGATTCAGGTCCTGGTGATCAAAAGCTCCTATACTCTATGCATGGAAATCCTGCTAAACAGGCAAACATGTGCCTGGATCCCAAGGATAGATCCAGGCACCCATAAGGTTCTATGTTTATGGGATCTTATGATCTTTTCAAGCTCTATTTGGGCACATGTCTGCATATTGGTATCTGAAAAAGAACATCTGTACCTTTATTAATGAGCAGCACAAAACAAAAAAAGTGGGTCACAGACATTACCAATACAGAACACAAGGTTCTGGGACTTATCAGATGCTCATTTCAGCACTATGAGCATACAAGTATCACTTTTATTGATGCAGCCATCTGCTACATGACTGGAGCACTCTACCCCATCATCAAATCATGGTCCTGAAAACCAGTCAGTGTATAAACCTGCTTGGCAATTTTTGCTGGGCCATACTTGTGATGCCACAATCTACACTAGCATAAACATAAACAGATCTTCACACAGAAACCAGACAACTGTTTCAAAACCATCTATCTCACTGGTGTTATTTCGGAAATCAAGCACCATTCTACACAGCAGCCTGCAAATGTTTTGCTCATTCAGACAAAAATCCATCTACCATGCTGGGTGCCTATATGACACCTGTGCAGTAAACATTTTGCTAAACAAATCCTGGCCATATTTGATTGTGCTAAATATGCAGTTTGCACACACTTGTAAGAACCTCTTTGGAGCATTCTCCCCTGAAATCATTTTAAAAGCATCACAATTCTTTGACACCTTCACTCTCCATATAATGAAACTGGTGCTGATAACAAACCAAACTTTGAGCTTTCATATGTACAGCATGCATGCCCTGAAAGCATTGCTGCAATATTGCTACTATGCTGGACATATTCAGTGTATAATGTCTATTTTGATTTTCAGCCTGAGAATGTCAAGTGCTGGAATGCTCACAAATGATGCATACCCAGCAAACAGCCAATTTCTTGAGAATAGCATGCACAAATATCTCCTTTCCACCATACTGTACCAGAAACTGCTTAAGCCATTCATGCTTTAAATGCAGTAAACATAGATGAACAAGCCTTAGTTTGATCATCAACTTATGATTGTATTACAGTACTTGTATTTGGCTACATGCTGACTTCATGCAACAAAAATAAGTACTTGATAACTTGCACACCAAATGTAGTTCTACAAGGGAGAACATTCCGAAAATAGGTCAGTGAATCTCACGAACTTCTGCACACCTTTACATGCTACCACTGGCATAAAAACCTATTTCACACACCATGATTCAATGTGCAGCAAATATCTCAACTGAGATCAAGTCAATTTAATTTGTTCCCAATTCCAGCTTCTATATCACTGAATTCAAATTCGACACAAGATTTGGTCACTGCGCCCTCACAAAATCTTCCGCCATTTTCGAGAAACCAAATAACCCTAAGTGACGATCCCGTGTCAACACAGCAGCATTTTCCCAACCTGAGCACCTATCTACTCACACAGTCAGCCGCCGACATGCTGCCATGAAGGGCTGATTCTATGCATCTAGTGTATTCATCAGCAACACAACAATTCGCACAACAGCGACCCAACCTGCAGACCCACTTCAACTGCTTCAGCTTCGATTTGCCCAACACAGTCGTCAGCTGGCTGACAAAACGCAGGCTGTGATCGTATTCGACGTCGCTAGCCAACGATTTTCGTCTGTTAGCCAATAGGAAAGCTTCACTTTTTCCCACACCGCCTAAACATCAATCGGAAAGGCCATCAAAGAACCATCTGTTGGCTGCTGCGACACCTGCTTCAATCGGAAACAAGAATCAAGTGTTAATATATGGCGATCGATAACCAACTGTATTTGCAATTTTCGCAGCGGAACTACGGCCTCAAGCAAGCTTAGAACAGATCGTCTTGCATAAACGAAACTATTGCGCCGTAATTGAATCCACGTCGAATACCTTTCCACTGACACCGCGCCCCGTAGAATTGTTTTGTCCGGGCTTGAAATCGTCACGGCTGGCAATGACAGTTATTTTACGGGAAATTCGCTTCCATGAAAATTGGAAGCAAGGGGATACCGACCGATGGAAACAAGTTCCAGTTTTGTTCCACTGCGAACGCGGAGAAAATTGCAGTTTCAGGAAGTAACCATGCCACCAAAAGTAACGACACCAATTTCAATTTTTCCTTCCGTAACACTGGCTAAAAACATTGCAATCATTGCGAATACCAGTATCTTGTATTCACCGTCTCATCAAAAACTCAGGTTTAAGTCGGAAGCATGCAAAACTATTACAGCTATCAATGGAGCCAAGGAAGGGGCCCAGTAGTCGGTGCCCCTCATCGCTTCAGGCCCGAATTTTTCGTGTTTTACCATGCAGGGTTCCTGTCAGAAAAGCAACGCGATGCCTTCTCACCACACCCCTGAAGCGAGTTACTGGGGAAGAGGAAGGTGGCAAATCAAGTACAGCACTGAGCTACCCCTTATAGCGTACTAAATTAGACAGTGTGGAACTTGCATTCAGTTGAGATGTCCGACCCACCCGCTCACCACCCGCATTGATTGGCGAGTAAGCGAAATCGGGTGAAGCGTTTGTAGCGTATTTTGGGGATATGCCTCGTCATTTAACCCTGCTTAGTCCCCACCCCCTCACGCAGCCCAGTGTGTGAAACAACTCTCCCTAGACTGATCTTAATCGTGATGGTGCACTGGTAAATGTGCCCGGCCGGTCCGTAGCGTGAGGGTCAGCAGCGTACTGCGGCCCCGAGAAATATTTGTAAAGACGCGCGAAGGGCGCAACCGTGTGCATTCAATAGCCATGCTGTAGAGCAATCAGCTGACACTTCAGCACACTTGTCCAATCAAGGCATCCATTTCATTCGGTTGACGCCCTGGCGGTTCACCGCTTGACCACGGCGGGCCTGACACAGCGACGACCTGCTAAGTTCCGGGATTCACTGTGAAATACATTAGGTCGTGCAAGGCGGGTGCGACGATGCGCACGATGTCATTGCGGGAGCATCGTCAGCCGGTAGCGCACATCAGTAATCGGCCGGCATGAACTCCCGAATTCATATGGGCCCCGGGCGGCGCGCTACCAAATGCGGGCGGCCGGCTAGCAGCGTGATTGGCCGCATACGACAGCCGGGCATCTCATGCTTGTCATCGCCCGCGAAAGAGTGCAGCCGTGTGCATTGGACAACGACGCTGTCGGGCTATCAGCTGGCGCTGCAACACGCGATCAGTTTGTATTGGTTAACGCCACGACAGCGCATGGCTGAATGCTGGCGGGCGACCGCAGCGTCGCTTGCAAAGCTGCGGGTTCCACTGTAAATTATGTTTAGTCGTACGTGGCAGGTGCGACCGCACGCAGACGATAACATTGCAGAAGCATTATCGGCTGGGCATGTAAGTTGGTCACCGAGCAACATAGCCGCTTCTGTTCATATGCCCCCCAATGCGTCCGGCCGGCCCATAGCGTGGCTGCCAACATACGGGGCCCGATACAGATACTTCTACTTGCACGCGAAGAGGCCGACTGCGTGCGTTGCATCGCGCTGCTGTGGAGCTTCTAGCCGTTACTGAAACACACGTTTCCGCTCAAATGGCGGTGTTGAAGTAGTTGTTGCGAAGTAGTTGTGTTTAAGTGGTGATGGTCAAGTGATGGTGGTGGACAGTGGTAGTGGTGGCCAGGTGATTGTGGTTAAGTGGTTGAGTGGACTTAGCAGTGACAACTGACAAAAACTACGCCAAAATACGACAGACGAGTTTATCTCTGACGGTGGCCCAGAGTTGGGGCTGCTGAAGTCCCCTTTACTGGAAAGGAAACCAGAGCCCGCCTTTCACGCATCACCAAAGAACAAACGCTAGAAAATAACCAAACACGTGATCTTCTGTCTGACGGTTTGCTTAGAAGCCCATCAAAGACGATGAACACGATCCATCGGAAAGCACGAGATGGACTGTGAGATGCTGTGGATACAGTTTTCCATATGTGTTAGGGGAACGAGGCTCACATTTCCACGCCTTACCACGAAACCCGGCGCTGTCTGCTGAAGGCTACGTTGACCCGGACACAAAACCCACAATCCCAATGTGAGACTAACAAAATCTGCCTGCGTATCAACACGAATGGTACGAGCACTAAGCTTCAATGAGCGTGCACTGCTTAAGTGTGCTCTGCACACACATTATCATCAATGAATTGTCGCAGCCGGACGTTGAACTCCCTGGAAGCCACTGGACGCAGCACGTCACGACCAAAAGCCAAATATCCCCCTAAGCATCAATAACGTATGCAAGCTGGTATCGCAGCGTGCCGTTTAAGTCTCCAGCATGGGATGATGTTACTCGATGATGTTCGCTCTCCCCCCCCCCCCCCCCTAAGGCCGCGGTCACGCGGAAGGCTGCACGCATGCGCGCACTGCGCTGGTTCGGCTCCACCAACCGGGCGTCGAGCGGGGCCGCCACGCAGCGGCATCACCTTGGAGGTCATCGACCTTGACATTCACCAAGTACCGCCTCAGACATCACTTCTTTCCGAGATTTTATTCCCGCACACACGAGTCATGTGAGGTCTATACACGTAAATAGATCCACCAAGGCAGTGTGTGAAACACACAGACACCTTTATCTTCATGCGGCTACTTACGGACACACGCGCTGGACGCTCCGCGAGGGACGAACAACCAACCACCAGTCTCTCCACGTGCAAGCCGCTCCAATACCACGCGCGGTACTCAGTCTGCGCTCGCTGGCGAGAACAAAAGAGACAGATTCAGGCTGGATGGGCTGGGGCGTTGGCTGGCGCGGGCGCGGGCGCCGGCGGCGGGTCGACGTGGACAGGGCCCGGCACCACGAGCCGTCGTCGACACCGACACCGGCGCGAGCGCGCGGCCCGGCCGGTGCGGACGGGCGGACCCGGCGGGGTCCGCTCCGGCCGCCCGCCGGCGGACACTGCGGAGTTGACGGTCCGGTATGGGGCTCTGGGGACTGCGCGACGCGCTCGGGGCTGGGGACTGTGCGACGCGCTCGGGGCTGGAGACTGCGCGAGACGCAGACTGGACGGGGTCGGAGGACTCAGCTTCCGGTCTTAGCACTGTGTCGAGTGGGATCGAAGGCGACGGGTGGAGTCTATCGCCAGCTAGAAACAGGTAAGTCGCTTCAGGAACAACACAGTTTCCACTCAAATCCGCACCGCACATTCCCGATGACGTGCATTTACGGTAATACAGAGAACATTGTCGGTAATAAAATGAGCAGCTAGCGCTGCAGTTCGTGGATCGGAAGAAGGAAAAGGCTATCAAATAATGGAACAATTTCACTCGCAACTGGAGTACAAAGCTAGAAAAACATAAGCACAGATCTTTCTCGCTTGATTTGATTCATAAAAATGATATCAATGTAGCTGAACCAAGGTTCTTGGTTAAGTACGGCACGTTTGCGGTTCAACCTATTCCGTTGAAAACGAAAACAGAGGCCTGAATGACGTCACTTCGTCCACAACTCAAAGCTGCCAAAAAGACAAGCAGCACGCCACTATTTCCAAATGCCGGCGTTTGCGGCAATGGCAGTGTAAGCCACAGCGTACACTAAGCCTACCGGTTAAAATGGGCAAACACCACACATCGACAGCTAAAGCTTACACCACCAGCCCTAGTCTACCGCAAACGCACCTCGCCGTCTCCCCACGCAGCCAGCAGCCAACTGAGGTTGTACTTTGCTAAGCGACGCACAAACCACCGAGCGGCACGCGCACAGTAAAAGCCAGCGGGCTCCTCCATCGCCCGGGCACACGACTCCAGCCCAGTCGAGGTCGAGGCTGGGCGCGGCTGGCCGCCGCCATCGCCTCCCTCCTGTCCCGCTCCGATCGCACGCGGCCTCGCCTGCCACTCGTGCGCGGCCTGCTCCCGGCCGTCGCCCACTCCGGAGATCTCGCGGGATGCCGGCACCGCGGCGCTGGCAGAGGCCTCGCGTCGCCGGCGCGCCGCGGGCGGCCGGCGGTCGGGGCGCCCTCGAGGGACGTCTCGGCGGGCGCCCGCCGTCGCCGCCGGGCTGGCACGGGGGCGCGCCGCCCACGCCGCCGCGGGCTCCCTCCCATACAGCAGCTACTAGTTTGTACGTCGATGGGAGGTGAGGTCGATGTATTCCTGAAACGAACGCGGGGCTGTGAAGACCGCAGCGGAAACACCACGCCCACAGGGTCGGTTCTAAGCCAGGACCAGCATGGACCCGTGTGGACCCGAATACCGAGCGAGGACCGGTCTGGATGGAGCCGGACATGAGCGCAGTGGCAGACGGGAGCGTAACTTGTGAGGAGTAAGACAGGACAGGTATGGCGCTGCAGTGGTGTTTGAGCATCTCGTAGGTCCATGCAATCATAAACACACACATCGAACAAGGGGCCACTGTTCCAGTTGTTTATGGTTAGGAGCTTACCTACAGCCGCGCCCCCTGTGATCAGACGCAACGCAACTGACCTGGACGCGTGCTGTTTCAAGAGAGACGGAGAACGCACACTGTTGTATCGTTACTGGGACCAAGAGCTCACCCACGTGGGGTTACTTTACACTGGTGTATGGCGTTATCACATGGTGAATAGTTTGTCTCATACCAAAATCTTCTGCCCAGTCCCACACCAGCCAGCATCTCCACATCACTCTCAATCGCCCGCCCGGCCCGGGGCCAGCAGCTCCACATCACCCTCCCTCGCCCGCCCGGCCCGGGACCAGCAGCTCCACGTCACCCTCCCTCGCCCGCCCAGCCTAGGGCCAGCAGCTCCACATCACCCTCCCTCGCCCGCCCGGCCCAGGGCCAGCAGCTTCACATCACCCTCAATCGCCCGCCCAGCCCAGGGCCACGGCCGGCCGCCGCGCACACTCACGTCATACGACATGCCGAGCTTGCAGCTCTGGTAGCGGGTGAGCTTGACGCTCTGGCGCACGTCTTCGGTGATGGCGCCGCGCCAGCCCCCCTTGTTGAGCAGCGAGTCGATGGTGCGCGTGTGGTCCCAGCCTGGCGGGCACAAGGCCCAGACAGGCGATACAGAGCGCCGTCGACGACATACGGCGCCGCCCTTGGCTGACACACACACACACACGCACGTGCACGCACGCACGCACGCGCACGCGTGCCCAGGGTACGTACGGCCTCGCTCCGCTTACGTGGCCTGGGCTTGAGTGCGGCCACGTTGAGCGGCAGACAGGGCCGGCTTGAAGAGAGTGTGGTGAAGCAGTGGGCTCGCATGCCCGTCACGTGTCTCGCAATACAAGAATGCACACTGCAGTACGGGAACAATGCTCTGGGAGCCAGTACTCCGGTAATTTGATTTGCAGTCTGCATGAGCTTCAGTTATGAGCACAAACATGTAAGGTGTTGATGAAATCTGAAGAAAGTTCTTTAAAAGAACCTGGAGGGAAAAGTCAAATTTCATTGTATTCACATTGTTGGTCTGCTTCTGACCACAAGGATGAAAAGCCTGCTCGAGTCTCTTGGGTCTGGTGCCGTGGAATCGACATAAAAGCGACCAACTCATCAACCATTACGCAGCGACCGCTGTTGATCACACGCGGTGGTCGCTATCCAGCCACTGCCTGTCACTGCTTCAGGCAGCCACCCGCACCAGACAACGCCAGTCCATCCCGCCGCCAGCGCGCCCCCCGGCGCCCCGGCGGGCCGCCACCAGTGCCGGCACCCACCCTGGTCGGGCGCCACCTCAGGCAGGTAGGTGGAGGTGCGCTTGCGGCCGGCGCACGTGAACTCGATGCGGATGCCGTGCTTGCCGAGCTCCCAGTCGCGGTAGTCGCGGCCCGACTCGAAGCTGGTCAGCAGCGAGACGTTCAGGTGCAGACGCGGCAGCTCGTCGCGCGTGATCGGCTGGAAACGGCGGTCCTTGAAGGCGCTGCCGGACGGCGCGGGCGCAGGTGTCAGCGGCGCCGGCCGTCGGACGCGGCCGGAGTCGGCTCCCCCCAGGCGGGCCGTCCGCGCAGCGCCGCAAATGATGTGCATGTACACAAGCATGGTAGCAAGGACCAAAGTCGTGTTTGAACTGACCACTTGGTCTGATATGGTGCATTACAGGCTGGAAACATTATGAGCTGCAGCATTCCCACATCCAGAAAGAAAGGGGACAGCATAGTGTTGCCTCCCCAAGCATCACACAGCATCCAAATTAGACATGAGTATTGTGCAGAAAAAGATAGCCTCCTTCCAAATCAACATTTTCAGAGTCTGCTACTGTGCTGTCCTTGCCTGGTAATGGAGTAATCCTTCAATCCAGTGTGGAGATCTAATGAGTCAAACGTTCCAATACAGCCTCTCAGGCGCCGGTCCCGACCAATCTGCCACGTCACAAACAGCGGGCTGCAACGAGACAAGATTAAGCTAATGATTGCTGGCTGGCATGTTAATGACAGCAGAACAAAAGCAGTAATATCACAAATGACATGCTGGGTTGAATGCCTAATATGCCAGACAAAACATGAAAAATCATCACCAAAAGCCTGACATGATCAAATGAGATAATTTTAAGAGTATATTCAACATATATCATCAAAGCATCTATGTAGACAAACCAAAAACTCGTAAATTTGACACACAACACATATAGAGCAGGAGTAGATATGTGATCTTACTATGAATCATTGGGGAAGTTTGGGCTGGGTGGTGGCTCCAAATTATGCAATGATGCATAAAGCACATCAAAGCAATATATGCACATCTCTTTGGTGACAACTGATCTAGTATCATGGTAGCCATTGCATGCCATTCCAGAGTTCATTTTTTGCTTCTTTGTACCACAGCAGCTGGTAGACATCATCACAGAAAGACCTGTAACAGAACAATATGGTGTTGGAATCAATGGTCACTTCAAGTCTGTACACAAAAAGAACTTAAAAGGACAGTCAATATTGTTAATGTGAAAAGATGAACATGATTGGGTTGCTGTTTTCAGAAACTATCAAAAACAGATTTGAAAGAACAAGGCAACAGATCAGACTTTTGACCAGAAGTCACAAATTTTGCCATAACACAACACATATTACACACATTCTCAATACACAACCTCATCATCTGCTATCAAATCATGCTAACCAACACAAGGTTAGTATCTTATGGGATGCCTAACTCACTCTGAAATATAACATTTCAGGGATGTGCCCAATTGAACTCATTGCCCACACAGATACAGGGTTGCAACATGTTATGAGGACTACTGATATTACTGCCACCTACAGCTTCCACCACATCAACACATTTTTTAAAAGTTAGTTGACAATACACCAAAATGTATATAACTAATATATCATAAATTAAATTACAAGGCCATAAGTTTGCAGCATAAACTCTTTTATTTTTTCCCATCTATTCCATGTTCTCCTGATAAACATATTATTGATGTCTGATATTGATCTGACACCCTCATTCATAGCAGATGTTTCTGCTTTGTCTTTGTTTGGAGAACAAAGAGCAGAATAACTTCATCCTTATTTAATCAATGCATATATGTGTGGACTTTTGTTCAGTCTGGCTACAATTAGTCAAGTTAGCCCATACAATATTATCAATATCAGATAAATAAATGCCATACTCTATATTAGTTACCAAATACTAACCAATCATGACAGCACAAATACATTTCAGGCAAAATTTAACAAATGCAATTTTGGTATTTCAGCTGCACTGCTTGCACATGCTACATTCAAAATGATAAAGTATTGTGCTGGGGCTAAAACATAAATTACAACGAGATAACACATATGCTTATCAAGAAGTTAAAATTGCTCAAAGTAATACTTTCTGGTGCATAATAATGCAAAATACAAGAAGTGGATACTACAGTAACCAAATGTACAACACTTAAGGAAAAACACTTTTCTAGCAGCGAGCACAATAGCTGACCACAGATAGCCATTTAAAGCTTGAAGGTCATCTATTTTTCAGGTCATTAGAACAAAGCAATCTGATTGCCCATCATTGCTCCCCTGAGATACTCATGCCAAGCCCAGCCATATGTAAACAGAACAGACTTCTCAGCAAAATGCTTTAGTTTGGGATCGGCACAGTGACAGTACAAAGCACATGACACGAACCTGACAAAAGATTGCAAAATGGAAATGAAAAGAAAGCTGCCTCTTCTCCAAGGCCTTCAGTCAGCATGAAATCTTGAAGTTATTCCGGACACAAAAGGCTAGGAACGAATGGAAAATAAAATCATCACGAGAGAACTGACTTAAAATTTAACATTACTTTGCTGAAACCCTGCCTATTGAGCCTTCACCTAAATCAACAGCGAACCGCTTCCGTCCCATAATCTCAACAACAAAAGACTTCTACCAGCTGAGGTGCAGCACAGTAGACTTCCGTGCTAGCTGAGATGGGATGTGTTCGCAGCAGCAGATCCGTTGGATGATTTGTGCTTTTCGACAAGCTGATTGGCCAGAAAATAAAAGCATGCGGCCCATGTGAATCAGAGACAATGTATCTTCCGACAAGATAGTGATGAGCATTTTCGATTGAGAATTAAGAAATTTATTTTCCATTTACCTTCTTTACGTACGTGCTATTGCTCTGTTTTGTTGAAACGATAAATTGAATTAGCACCTTGTGACGTAAGGATACATGGCATTATCGCCGAAGAAGACAGAACTGGCGCAAAGTCTCACATGCTCCTCGCCGTTTTGGCTGCTCGTATGAAGTGTAATGTTGTACATTAAACTAAGCGTAGAGGGCTACGTCTAAAAAAGTTGTAACCTGTTTTAATCTGATAACACAATCTAACGTTTTAAGATCATTGATCTGTAGTCAGTTCCGGAAAAGTATCACATATAGAGGGCGTACTTATCGTATTTGATCAACTCCTCAGGCGGCCCCGGTTCCTCTCCGTCGCCGTGCCGGAATACTAATGATTGTGGGTGCCGCGACCAAGACGCTTCGTTGTCTAACAACTACAGTGAAAATGCAGAAATTTGTATGTACGTCAATCCAAGAACCGCTGAATTTTATATCCAACAAGAGGTGTGCTCCAGCTGACAAATTCAATGAAGTGGATAACTTAGAACCAGCAACCGGCAAGGTTTTGCTTCAGTTTGCAAGTTCCGCACAGAATGAAGTGAATCGAGCTGTCAAGGCTGCAAAGGAGGCACTGCCAGCATGGAGTGCTGTAAGTCATTTTTTGTTATAAAATAGTCTTGTGCAGTGTCTGTTCTGCAATGTAACATCTATGAAAAGTTAAATATGAAAACACCACTGAATGGCAACAGCAAGATGATGGCTGATGTATGTAGCTTAATTTCAGATGTATTTCAACTATATTTTGCAAGAATGCTGGGCTGTGCACAACCATGCACACAAATGTCCATGTGGCAAGGAAGTATATGCTATGTCCATCAACTTATGTGACATGCCATGGGAATCTGGTGTGCTTTGTGGATTTACTTCAATTAGACTAAGATTATGTTTCTGACTTTCCTGCTGTATTCTGATAGACAATGGATTATGACATCTCCTGCAAACATGTTACCATACTCTGGCCATGTAATATCCAGGAACCAGAATGCAGAAAATGCTTGTTATACCAAAAGTGCCCATTGCAGCGGGGGCTTGGCGGCTAAAAACAAAGTCAATCATCTCAAGTTGTGGGCATGGTTACCACTGTCAGCATATAGAGGGCAAAAATTTTATTATTTTGCAAAGGTAATTTCAAGCAGCCACTGGCTGTCAGTATATTTTACAACTAAAATCAGCAAATTCAGTACACTTTAATCTTGCCTGAGTTCTATGCACCTGTTTCAGTGCACTTGTATATTAGAGATGGTCAGTACAATGGACAGTTTGGGCAGGCTGTCCTAGATGATCCTGTTTTTGTGTACTGTTATTTTATTACTTTCAGGGATGTGATATAAACATGTTATGTTCAAGTCCATCCAAGCTGAAAGCAATATTTCCAAAACAAAATAAGGTCGGGGTATACATTGCCACCCCATGTTGAGAAAGGGCATTGTACATCATTTGTTTTTAAGGCAGAATATATTGTAATTGATCATAAAACAGGTCATCTAAGCTCGTATCTTGGAACTTAAATAACTATGATTGCGAACATCTGAGTGCAAACATGCAGCAACAATGACCCCCCCTCCTCCCGGTGCCATTTCTATGCATGGTCACAACATTACTGTGTAATCACAACATTACTGTGCATCAAGAACTAAAAATGTATGAGGCCAAGGTAACAAGAATTCAATAAAATGTGTATCTTGTGTATGCAAGCAGTCTTTCATAATGTTTGTAGATTGGTCGGCATGGTGGGGAAATGTGATGTTTTTGCATATGAATGAAAAGCAAAATGAGAATATGGCTGCTAAACAAAACTTCTTAATATGGTACATATGTATGACATGGAACATGGATGCCAATGGGACACTGGGTTGAGGGGGAGAGGGTGGGTGTTAGGTTAGGTTAGGTTAGGTTAGGTTAGGTTAGGTTAGGTTAGGTTAGGTTAGGTTAGGTTAGGTTAGGTTAGGTTAGGTTAGGTTAGGTTAAGTTAGGTTAGGTTACATTAGGTTAGGCTAGGTTAGGCTAGGCTAGTTTAGCTTGGGCTATGTTCTTGACTCTTCTGGCCTGTCCGTTTCATAAACGTACCTAGACGCGGTAAGAAACGTTTTTCATTGCATTATTATTGTTACCTTGGTCCCGTACATTTTTTATGGTTCTTGATAAGCAGAAATATTGTAATTACGCAACGGCAATGCAGAAACGGCGCTGGGGAGTCCAGGCGGTGGGGTGTGTGCGGCGCTTGGGAGCTCGCTATCATAAAGTTGTTCAATAAAATTTGAAGGTAGGAGCATGAATCTACCTGTTTTAAGATTAGTTATGATGTGCTCCACCTTAAGCACGACGAATGGTGTACAATGATTTTTCTAATGTTAGGTTGCAATGTATACCTATACCAAAATAACAGCCAGACAGGTCAGTGTGCCCCAAAACCCCAATCATTATCATCATCAGGCAAGTATATCATTATAAATTGTGTCTTGAGAGCTTTGCCATTGCTTGTTGTGTACCTGATGAGTTTCCAAGTTTATTCAAAGAAAGAGCAGAGTCTGAAATGAACCCTCAACAAATGGGACACATTTAACATTTCAGCTATGTATGTGATCTTAATCAGCAAACAATTTGATGCATGGTGCCAGACTCAGCTTGCTCAGTTGTCACATGGAATGTGTAGGTGTTCATTGCCTCTTCTTGCCTTCATGCCATGATGTAATATGGTTATATACTTGGAGGCATTGCCTGCCTGGGCCTGGATGTGTGTTGCTCAGGCAGTTCAAATGACAGGCATCCAGAGGTCCCTGTCGATTATAGGCACACAGCAAACTCACTTTCTCCACCATCTGCATACTCTGTTTCAAAGCATTTGTTTCAGACCTTTGTGGAAAGAAATTTTGTACTCTTACTTGCACACTTTGCATAAATAAGTCGCATACTCTTACTTGTGATAATAACTGCACGTTTGTTAACACAGCATGGCCAGGTGCATTTGGTGTGGCCGGCATGCAGCAGTAATTGTTATTCGCCTGACTCGGCCACCTGAATGCTGAAGTGTGGCTGCGTGATTCAATGATCTATGAAGTCACATTGGCTTCTTCCCTATACACGACCCAGCACAAACTACACACTGTTTTTCACGGACCGACTGAATGGTCTCCTAGGGTTTGTCGATGCCCTCTCTCCCTCTCTCTTTCCATCGCTGGTACGCATGGTAATGATAACATGCTGTATTTCATTGCCGCACATTCTCGCTCTTTGGTTTCGCCCTCACGTCTACGTCACGTCACGCTGTTCACCACATATGGTGCACGGAGAACGCAACAACCAAATTTGTCCACGGTCAAATTCGAATAGGTTCAACAGGTCGATTACATGAGCTATTGTAAAGCAATCGAGTATAGGCTCATGATTACTTACCGTCACCAACAGCCCCTCCGGTTTTGAATTTGCGCCATTGTGCGCCATGCGTATTTTCGACAGGGGTCTGCCTTACGTCACGGTGCGGAGGTTGGCGAAACGGCCGAAACCGACGAGCATTACGTCACCATTTTCTCTAGGTGTGAATCAGGAACTAATTCAGTTTTACAACTTTAGCTACATTTTATCTTTGTTTTACAACACTTTTCCGTGTCGAAAATAATAACATGCGCAGAGCATCCACATGACACCGTATTTACAAGCATGGCCGCTAGAATGCGTTATCATCGCATAGTTCTGTTGTTTTTCGCTTGATTCAACACTAAATCAGACTGCATCGGCTGCGAATTTTTCGCCCAAATAGTCCTTTTCATTCCAATGGCATCGTCCGCGCGACTTCATCGCTACCCGATGACTTGTCCTTGCGGGCATGTGTTCGCCGTGCAGGCTGTGACAGCGCCTTGGCTTTGGTTCCAGCTGACTGCCGCCGAGCGTGGAGTTTTCCTGAAGAAGGCTGCCACCATCATCGAGGAGAATCTGGAAGACATCGCGCAGATGGAAGTGAAGGATTGTGGCAAACCCATCTGGGAGGCCAGGATTGATGTGCAATCTGTCGCCGACACATTGAACTACTTCGCTGGTGTTACGCCGGAAGCTATGAAAGGTTCGTTTGTAATGTCCAGCGTATTTTAAGAGTATGCAGAGTTTTACGTGGAATATGGTAACAATGGTTCACGTGAAACGATACAAAATGTAGACGACAGTAACTTTCTGGAGCAGTTTTCCCACGTGCTAACGATGTCTTCATGTTTCCAGGAACATATCAGCCACAACCAGGAGGCTCGTATGCTCTGGTCCAGCGGGAGCCAGTTGGTGTCTGTGTGGGAGTTGGGGCTTGGAACTACCCGATCCAGACCTGCGTCTGGAAGGTAACCACCGAACTGTTGTCAAATAAGTGCTCCGATTTATGTGTCAGAAGAATGGCTGACTGCCTAGCGCCTTGCATGAGGACTTTTGGGGATCAGAAGTGCTACCAGTGTATTTCCTTTTTCTGTCAGTAGACTGAACTAAATTTGGCAAACTCCAGCCTTTTCGGCTGTGTATGAAGCGTTGGACCGGCGCCCCACTCTCGGTGGGATGTCACACCCCACAACAACGACTGGATCTGCCAATAGTCCGCACTGCCATTAACTCAACAAAGGCTGGCTGACTAACATAGACTGCCGGGCTGAACAACCAAGACGTTAGTCCCGACCGTACGTACGGCGCCGTACTTAAAGCATCGATGATTGTACAGCTGATTGTGATCGCCCATATCCGTAGCACATTATTATATTACATATATCATGATTACATATTCATCACCCAGATGTTTGTGGGCTGGGGTGCTCGCGTAACGATTCAATGGTAACTTCTCCTGTGCAAGCGAAAGACGTTCTTTAAAAATGCGTCCGCCATTGTAGATGTTCGCGCCGCGTTGGTTACTTCGGAGCTTCCGAGCCTTGGAGCTCTAGGCTTGCCTGGCGCGTTGAATATACCTGATGTAGCGTAAATTGATGTAGCCTGATGTAGCGACACTCGTGGTACGAACAATCTTCCTTTTGCGCATGAGATCGTGAGGGATTATCATGTGTGCTCCCACGCTTAACGTATGCACAAGTTGTATGTATTGTCTGTAAATGCCAACAAGCACAAGCGCTTTCGCACATGTGCGCTACGCACGCTTGTGATTGTGAAAAGTTGCGCACGATTACCTACTTGACGACATCTGCTTGAAGAATATTGACCCGTAATCATCGGAAAGACCGCCTCTCTCGCTGTGTTCGCCGAGATGTTCGCGTCCGCGTCCGCGCGCGCCCCCCGCGTCACCTCGTGCTTCGCTTCTGCAGACGGCTCCGGCGCTGGCCTGCGGTAATACGTTCGTGTACAAGCCGTCACCCCTCACCCCGGTGACCGCTGTGACCTTGGGCGAGGCTTTGGCCGCGGCCGGCGTGCCCCCAGGCGTCTACGGAGTTGTTCAGGTGGGCGGCCGCTGGGATGCGCGGAGAGGCAAGTTGCCGTGTTTCTGATGTACGGGATGATTCTTGTCAGCTTTTTGTGTGTGGGGGGAGGGGGGCTACTGCAGCGGATAAGTTGTAAGGTGATGTGCTACCTGGGCAGTTGGGCTGGGTTTGACGACTTACAGCTCTGGTGTGGTTAGCTATGATTAATTTTTTATCAGTTTTGTCAAAATTGGCAATTTTATCCGTGCTGTGGCCTCTTTTTATTTCGTATTACCCGTATCGGTGCCGACTCATGTGATAAGGCCGTGACACTTGTGACTCCCTTTGGTTTTTTCGCCGTTTTTGTGAAGGTTTTTTGTGAGTGGAAGGGTTAATAGTTTTGGATATTCTACGTTAGTCGATAAGTTCAGGATAATGCAGCAGAAAGGCTGCGTTCATCTTGTTCTAAACCACCGCCAGGCACTGCCTGGTGCACTGCCATCAGTTTTGCTATGTGTCTGTTGGACGAGTTATTTGCATGTCGTGCGTTAGGCCCCTGCTTGCAAGCATCGATTTGAATCATGTGCTAAAGGCATCACCATGGCTTTCCCACCTGCCCCGTCGTGTGTCGTGGCTGTGCTTGTCCCATGTTCTGGCCGGCGGGCGGGCGGGCGGGCGGGCGGTGGTGAGTGAGCCGCCCCACGATGTCCGTCGCCGGCTCTGCTGACCGGCGCCGTGTGCCGACCGCAGGGCGAGGGCGAGACGGGCCACCTGCTCTGCTCGCACCCGGACGTCGCCAAAGTCTCCTTCACCGGCTCCGTCGGCACCGGCAGCAAGATCATGGCCGACGCCGCGCGCGACATCAAGAAGGTGGGGCGCGCGGGCCGGCCACGGGCCGCACGCGCGCTCCCGTCTGTGTAACGCTGGGCGGCGGTGGTGTGTGCGCGCGCGCGCAGTCTCTGGGACGCAGGCGGATGTCGTCTGTGCCGACGGCGTCCGCGGTGTAGCGGGGACGGTGACGGGACTGTCGGTGTTCAGGACGACCCCGCAGCTATGGCCGTGTCGTGCCCTCCGACGGCGGCTGAACGTCACCTCACAGGCCACGTCGTGCATACGCGTGGAGTGGTGCTGCACGTAACCCTCGTGGTGATCGGATGTTGCGTCAGAGCTACCAGGCCCGCTCTGAAGGCCGCTCGGAGGCGGGAGACCGGTCAGCGCGTGTCGTCACGAGTGTGTTGACCCGCGTCGCCCGGGGGATGACATGACCCGGGTGACTCCACCGGTCGGGCGGCCACGGAACACCCCGATCGGGTCTCGCCCGCGTCAGCGCATGCTCCCCAGGGCCGGACGCGCTGCTCATAATGAAAGCAGCGCAGCTAGCCGCGCCGGGCGGGTAGTACGTCTCATGTTCGCGCTGCCTGTCCCGCTGAGGTAGCGCTGTGATCGCCGCGTTGGCGCGGAAGACACCGGCCGGCTGCCGGGCGCCGTCACGTGGTCTGACCAGCGGCGGGGCGTGACCGAACGCCGGTGTAGACGCGGCCACGCCCCGCCGCCTCCCGGCGACGAGAGAGAAGACTCAGTCGGGGGCGGCCCGCGGGTGGCCAGGCCACGGACTTGCGGGCGCCGTGCTGACCGTCGCCGGTCCCCTCCCACAGGTGACCATGGAGCTGGGAGGCAAGTCGCCGCTCATCATCTTCGAAGACGCTGACCTCAAGAACGCCGTGAGGGGCGCCATGCTGGCCAACTTCCTGTCGCAGGGCCAGGTTAGACCGTGCTCGTGCAGGGACTCCGCTCCGGATCAGTGCGCGCGGCGCGGGCCGTGTTATTCGTGCTCTTGTTGGCGTTTTGCTTTGACGCGAAATGGTCACCGCATTCAAGCTTCTGCCTTCCTAGTCGATGCTCGCCATCGTCACCCTGTTCTTCCGCGTGAGTGAGGCTCGCCGCGAGCGGAGCGGGCCGCTTCGGCGGTCGGAGCTTCCTGCACTCTCACCGGGTTCTTACCGGGCCCTGCTATCGAGGCCCCGCTCACGTCCATGACGGCTCGCAGGTGTGCAACAACGGCACTCGCGTCTTCGTGCACGCGTCCATCAAGGAGCGCTTCACGGCCGCCCTGGTGGAGGCCGCCGAGAAGCTGAAGGTCGGTGATCCGCTCAAAGAGGACACCACCGTCGGCGCCACTGTCTGCCGGCAGCAGTTCGACAAAGTGATGGGATTCATCGAGCGCGCCAAGAAAGAGGTGAGCGCGAGTCACTATGCGCACAGCTCAGTCTGGGATCATTCGCGCGGTAGCGAGTGATGTCACATACGCACCCCATCGTGAAATTGACCCTTAGTGCGCAAGGCCCACCTCGGATTGATGCCTGCGCGATGTTGTGATCGTGCCGCACCGCCCGCTCACCGCGCCGTCCGGTGGTGCCGACCCGCCTCCAGCCCGTCCGCTCTCGCCGCAGGGCGGCCGCGTGCTGTGCGGAGGCGAGCGCGTCACGCTGCCGGGCGAGCTGGCGGGCGGCTGCTACCTGCGCCCGTGCGTGGTCGCGTGCCCGCGCGACGACATGGAGCTGGTGCGTGAGGAGGTGTTCGGCGCCGTGCTGGCGCTGCTCGAGTTCACCGACGAGGAGGACGTGGTCCGGCGCGCCAACGACACGCGCTACGGCCTGTCCGCCGGCATCTTCACACGGTGAGCCCGCCGGCGGGGAAGGGCAGGGGCTGGGAATGTGTCACAGGGGGGAGGGGAGGGGGCAGTGTCAGCTCGTGACGCGGATGGTGTGTCGTCATGGGTAGGATTTCCGACTTCTGGCAGTTTCAGGTTGGCATCGGTGCTTTGCGTCATTTCTGGTGATGTCGTGTGCCAACTCTGGACTGTAAGTTTAAGTGGAATGGAACGATGGGCTGTCTCTCAGACGTTACACTGTGTGACGTCACGGTGGTGTGCTTTTTACCATGTCACATAGCCCTGTCTTCCGTCGTATTTTGCCAGTTGACAACGCACGACGTATTTATACTCGTTGCTGCTCTGCCCTCTGCCTCCTGTCCGGTCTGGCCACACACCGTTCTGTTCGTCCATCCTTCGGTCGTTCCCTCGCCCCGTCTGCCGGCCCGTCAGTCACGTGACCGACGCCGCCGACAGGGACCTGTCGCGCGCACACCGCGTCATGGCGCGCCTGCAGGCGGGCGCCTGCTTCGTCAACACCTACAACGTGATGCCGGTGGGCGTGCCGTTCGGCGGCTACAAGATGTCCGGCTTCGGGCGCGAGAACGCCGTGGAGGCGGTGCAGAGCTACACCCAGCTCAAGTCCGTGTACGTCGAGACCGGCGATGTGGACGCCGCGCCGCTCTGCACATAGGTGGCGCCGGGGGTGGCCGCGCGGACGGTGTTCGCGCGCGCGTGGCAGAGCGCCGCAGATCTGGGACCAGTCGGGGTGTAGTGATAGTCGCCGAGCTGATATTACGGTTGCTTGCCAGTGCGAGGGACGCGTTAGAATGAGGCTGGAGGAGGAATCTTCCGGGGTTTAACCCTCGTGGCAGACACAGGGGTGATAGGGGTTGGTAGCAGCAGAGCGTAACTCGGGTTGTGCCCGCCGAGAGAGGCGTGGCAGACTAACATATCATGGGCTAGTGGGCTGCTAACGACATGTAATGGCGGGCGGTCTTGTACCTGCCGGTACCATAGGCTGCCGCTGTAATTGCTGCAGCCGAGAGCAGTAACCGAGGGAGGTGTAGGTTGCCCGGGCCTCCGCGGTACCGGAGGGCTCGTCAGTGTCCACCCGGATCTGACACCGCTTTCGGCCCGGCCTGGGGCCGCGGGTCGGTACGATTTGCTCGCGGCGGCAGTGCTCGCAGCGTCGCGGGCACTGCCGCCGCGAGTCGCGTGAGCGAGCGGCACGGGTCGTGCCGCTGGGCTTGAGGTTCGGCCGGTCGGGACGAGTCGTCGGCTGCCTTGCGCTGTGATCCGATGAAGGGTCTGCGATACATTCCGGCAGTGGAAATGCCTTCCTGGACGCGCCTGTAGTGGAAACTGCTTTGTAAACGCTCTGGTTAGCCCTGCAGCGTTGTTTGCTTTTGATGTCTTTATTGTCGCCGTGCTTGCGCGATCGTGTTACTGTAACGCAACGTGTGTTATGAACTTCAGCGAGACGGTGCTCGTGCCGCGCCGTGCAGCGCACTCCGCGACTCGCGCCGGTTGCTATGTGGGTCTCCTGGCGGCGGAGCCTCCTGCGCTGGCATCAGAATCTGCCCGCTCTGACGAGGGTGGTGAGCCCTCTGATGCGCCAGAATCCGTACTCAAGGCTGTATGTCCGTCTGTGCAATACACTGATCCGGAAGCCGCGAAATCTACGGCTGGCAGCGAGGGAAGAGTCGGCGTGGTTAGATGAGATAGGACCGGACATTGGGAGTGCATTGGTGTGCTGGTGTATACTGAAGCGTTTATTTTTTATATCCACGGGTGTTTCATTTGCCGTCCGGTTTTGTTTTGTACAGATTCGACTTATATTTGCCTTCGATTTAAAACGTGTGCATGCTTGAATCTGTTTCATGCGTGCCTCACTTTATGGCATTAGCCAGGATGGCTCATGGGAGTTGCAATGCAGGAAGTCTTTGTGATGGGTCAATGAGAGACCAGGATGAAAGCACCCAAGTCCATTCACTAGTATGAAGTAATTTTGAAGCGGCCGGAAATCGGATTTATTACTAAAAGCTGTTTGAGGCGCATCTGCTAATTATAATTCTGCCCTGCAATGAACGAGTCATTCCAAAGAACAGTTCCTCAACTTCGACGAATCCGAGACAAGGGTACTGTGATTTCCGCGCTCTCGTATTGGGAGCTTTGTCGAAACACTGAACTGGAAGGCTGCTGGAATGAAGGTACCACAAATCGAGAAAGGAAAGTAATAGTTGGCAGGGCAGGGGCGCGCGCAGGATTTCACCGCGTGTTTTGTGGTGATGGAGGGGGGGGGGGGGGACAAATCAAGAATTTCCGATCAAAACAGAGTTTAACACGACCAAACCAGAAAGACGCCATGTGTATATGAAGAGTGTCATTTGGTTTTCTACACACTACATAAAATGTTTTTTGATTGGCTTCCAGATCCCAGCACATCAATGTGCACATCTCACCGTCTGCCTCCTTGATCTGGAAGTGTTGAGCGGTGTTTGTAATTGCTCAACGGCCACTACCAGGGGTGCAGTTTCCTATTCAGCTGGGGGTGAAAGGGGTTTTAGAACCCCCAACCTTTAGGGCCAAAACCGGGAAGAAACCCATTTGTTGGCGTGTTTTGAGGGTATGTTGGGTCATTTCTTATGGCTTTTCTGGTAGGTTCCACACGTTTGCAACCAAATCATTTTGTGAAACTACGCCCCCGAAACACTACGATACGGAACATGATTTTCGTACGTAATGGAACTCAAGAGGCAGCTCAAATTTTGCAAAATACTGTTGAACTAAGCATCCGGTACTCAAGATGAGCTCCCACAATTTCAAAACCGAAAGAAATGGCGCAAACCAACGGTAAACATAAGTCGTAATGAAGTCGGAATGTTGCAAAGTGGCCAAGGGAGTGCCGGTCAAAAGGTTTTCGGAACACAACATAGAAGTATTTTGGCTTGATTTGAATGGTACAATTCTGGGAATGGTCAAATCGATCAGACAATACCTGAAAATTGTTCATTTGGAACAAAAAAGCTATTATTGAATGCACATAGAATCCTTTACAGCAGTAGTTTAGTTCAACATAATGGACAACCGCTTATGTGTAAACAAGCTGTTTTGCGGCAATGCCCTCTGAATTACTATTATGAATGAGGTAAAATCTATATTTTTGCAAGTTATTTTATCATTAAAACATTTAAAATGTGTTTTTTAAATAATATAAAAATACTACTTATAACTATTTTTACTGTAATAGCTTCAAAACTTTAGAAATAAATTGTACTACGTCATCAAATGACGAAAACGTTGGTGAGGCATTGCAGGCGAGTCAGGTGACGAATAGCGCCAAATATGCCTAAGAGATAGCGTCAAAGTTGGCGAGCTTGTGCGCAGGCTCAGTGAGTGTCTTGGTGCGGTGGCGGGAGCCCGTGAATTCGATTGGGGCGCGACAGCGTGGAGCGATCGCTGGCCGTGGTGTTTAGGAGCTATACATGCAGATCTGGAGGCCTTTGGTTGCTCAAAGGACGTGGAAGAGTGTTGTTAGTCGCTGACGCGTGAACAGTATTGAGTACATACTGTGATGTTGGGGCTGAAGATGGTCCACGGTCTAAACACGGCAGTAAATTCACTTTGATCTGTTTGAGCGGTGACTCATGAAACACACATTAGAAGTTTAAACTTATCACCCTTTTAATTGATGACAAGTGCATAACATGGGATAGCCAGCTCAGCTCGCAGGCCGGTTTTAACCTCTACCTGGCAGTAGGTATCATCCGTGACTGGAATATTTAGTGATATTTCTGAAGAAGACACATCTTGGCCAAGATGGGTAATTCAGAAAGTGCTGTGGAGAAAGATGACTACAGACAGACCATGGAGAGGAGAGTGAACAACTACTCATCCAGCATAGTTCCAGGAACTGTAGCAACATCATTGACAATGAAACTTCCAATGCCTGATCAAGATGCATTGGAGGAGAAGTTCAACAAGGTTCTGGTGAGTACCAGTTGCATCTGGTTTTTTATTCAAGCTGTATTGTAACTTAAACAACGTTTTACTTTCCTGTATATGTTTATGCGTAAGTGCCTTTCAGATGTTAACCACATATTTTGTGCTTATCAGCTGCCATTTTTATTGCCATGACAGGTGGAACATTTCATTATTGGTTTGTGCAAAGCTGTCACACCTTTCATGCATATGTCCAAGTTCAGTACCCAAATGAGCAGAAGCTGGTACCTAGATATTGATATCCCTCATTCCAGATGTGATGGATTGCATGGCAGCTTCTTTATTGGTGGCTTGATTGTGATTCATTATTTGATGCCAGCTAAGCCATCATCCCTTGAATGACTACTATTAGAAAATGCATGTCAGGTACTATCCCTGATGTCAGAAGTGCTTGTGACTGCTTCTGGGTTGATAGACTCTGAGCATTGTTGGGTTGTCTGATATGCTCTCTGCCATAACAGACAAGACTGCAAAGAACAGAGCACTGTTTCGGCACCATTAACCAGCACTGACTCGAGGTGCACATTGCACAGGATCCCAGCCCTGCTCACGCACAGTGAGCCATCTATCACGTGCCACCCGGCGCCAGGCGGCCGCCGTCCGTCGTACGATAAACAAACTGACGCCGCTCCGCCGCCGTCCGGGCTCTGGTACAGCACGCAGGCCGGAGTCCGGGCCTCCCTCGCCATCCGAACAGGTCGGAGTCCCGGCCTCCCTCGCCACCTGGTCAGGGCGGAGTCCGGGCCTCCTCCGCCATCAGTCAGGTCGGAGTCCCGGCCTCCCTCGCCGTGTGGTCAGGGCGGAGTCCGGGCCTCCTCCGCCATCAGTCAGGTCGGAGTCCCGGCCTCCCTCGCCGTGTGGTCAGGGCGGAGTCCGGGCCTCCTCCGCCATCAGTCAGGTCGGAGTCCCGGCCTCCCTCGCCGTGTGGTCAGGGCGGAGTCCGGGCCTCCTCCGCCATCAGTCAGGTCGGAGTCCAGGCCTTCTTCGCCGTGTGGTCAGGGTGGACCTCCGTCGCCAGTCGCTGCCCGGTCAGCCGGCGTCCTGCACGGCCGCGGGCGCGGCGGAATGCGGCGGTGCTTCGTCCGCCGCTCGCCGGACGAGCACGGCACCGCATCGTGCGGCGCTGTTGTGATGACGCTGCGCGGCCGCCTGCCCACGCGTCGCTGCTCGCTGCCGGCCGAGCCCTGCGGTCAGCACCGCGGCCTTCGTCGACGGCGCGAGGTCGTGTTCGCCCGTCCCACGCGCCGTGGCCTGGGTCGACCCGGCCGGCCAGGCGCCGCCCCGTGCCGACCGGGCTTTGTTAACTCGCCCGAGCTTCGGCTGGCTCGCTGACTATTTTTGTCGTGATCGGAAGAAAAACAAACACGAGCCGCCGTCGCGTCGTGGGCGCCCGTCATCTTTGTGTTGTTTCGCAAAACCAGGGACCTTGGCCCGGTACTGCCCGTGCAAACAGCGTGTAAATGCCAAGTGGAGTTCTCTGTAGCTGTGGAGCGTTGGGGAGCGCGCGCCCCCATTCAGCTGTCGCAGTTCTTGCGGCCCTCGCGTCCCAAACTCGGTGCATCGGATGCTTGGAGAAGATCAGCCTGTTGTCCTCGCGTCATCGCTGATCTGATTATAAGCAGCGTAGCACTAACCGAAGCTGTCCCGCCACTCACGGAGCCAGTCCTCTGTGGAGTTGGACGACCCTGTCGGTGGGAGCGGGGAGTAGGCCAGGTTAGCTGAATGTGGCGCTGTCTTGTGTGACGGCCTCCGGTCCAGAGGACGTCACCGCTGTCGGCTTTTTAGGGAGCGGGATCGCTCGCCTAATCCGCTGTTTTCCTGCCGCGTGCGACGGATTCGCGGCTGGGTGGCGCTCGTTGCACAATGCATTCCTTGTCATCCGACCATCCAGGCGCAGTTAAGTAGTGCTGCCTCGGCTGGCGATAACGTCTCGTGCTGGGAAGGTTTGCTGCAGCTGGAGGCAAACAAAAATAAGCGAGCACCGACTTTACCAAAAACAAAACTGCCCGAGCGGCAAAGCTCCGTGATCGTCGGCTTAGGTGACTAATTGCAACCGCCTGTGGGATGTTAAAGTCACCGTAGCCCCGCTACGAGACCGCGCTAGGCCATGGGCTCCTGCTCCGTGCAGAGGAGCACGTTGCCTAGCCAAACCATGGCCGCCTACCGACCCCGAGGCTCGGACGACGGTGGCCCTCCGGTGGCGGCACGTGGCGACCTCCGTCACCGTCGGAAGAGGCGATAGCACCGGCTTCCGTCCGGTACCCTCCCTTGGTTCCGGTCCGGCAGCCTGTCCGGTCCGCCCGCCGCCGTCTGCCGCCTCCGGGTGCGGCCTCTCCGAGCCTCACCCGCGGGGCCACGCCGCGGTAGATCGCACTCCGCGGGGTACGGACTGCGCTCCGCGGGGCGCGCTCTGGGCTCCGAGGGCAGCGGACGGCTCTTGTGTCTGCGGACACTGGACTGGCCGGTGGCGTCCGCCTGTGGGCGACGGCGCCGCCGCTGAGCCTTGGCGTCTGCCCCGGCTGTGTTGTACGTTGCCGGCGTTGTCCGCACGCACGGCGTCGATGCCCGCGACCCTGCTCCACTCCCGCCGGAGCCCGTCGCCATGCCCTCGGCCGTCTCTGCCCGGGATTGAGACCTCTGCAGTGGAGCTGCCGGCCTGGCCGCCGGAGT